CTTTTCCCTGTCCTCCGCCCTTCTTTCTACTCACCACCCCCCCAGTTTTGTTTTCTTTGGTAACGCGTTTTTATAGTTTATGTGACGTAGCAATCTTGGTTGCTGGAATGGCTGCCAGTATCAGTAGCGATATTTATCTCCTCCCGCCCCTCGCTCGGCCGCTGGCCCTGCACCCTTTACCTTTTCCACTCTTTGGTCAGAAACAGGGTATATGAACAAATTTTTTAGCCGAGTTCTCCAATGTGAATTTGTTCGTACATTATGACTCCCGAGGGGAAGCGATTGCTTTTTTTTTTTTTAATTTTTAGATTTTTTTAATTGCACTTCTAAAGAGCGAGAAAAAAAAATCAAAGGCGCTTTGAAACAGGGGCTCCCTGTGCAAGGATGACTAAGTGTACGTCTTTCCGTGTGTGTATGCTGGTGAACAGTCAGATTTATTTATATTTTTTTTGCAAGCATTGAGTAAGTTTTAAGTATTATTTATCCCCATCCGTTTGTATTTATATTAAAGAAATTCTGTACCCTAATTGTTCAGAAGGTTTCTTGGGCCTTTTGTTCAACGGTGTATTGGCGTACATAGAGAATTTTTTATTTGAAAGGGAAATATAGTTCCTTTATAAAAACGGTAATGATGCAATAAAACCCGAGATGATCCAGCCTTTGAAAACAGTGATTTAGGTTTGTAACATCCGGCGAAACTGAAAAAAGAATCTGTAAACGTGAAAAATGATAGATTTGTTTTGAGAGTTCTACATTCCTTGCTGCTCACATTCTGAGAAACAAAACAAAGAAATAAAGTTTTTATTCTGAATAATACCCGTGTTCCGAAGGGGTTCTTTAGCCGAAGAAGGGCGTCTGCGCGGAATTCAGGCAGAGGCGAGCAGGCCGCAGAGCCCTCCCCTCACCCAAGCGGCTCTGGCGTGGGGCTTGGCCAGGCTGCGGGCCGGGAGCAGCGCGCATTCTCGGGAAAAGCGGCTCAAGCGACCGGCGGCGGAAGTTCTGGAAACGGCGTGCGGCCGGCTCAGCTGGGCTGTCTGGTTCCCAGCTGCCGCCCGGGCCTTTCGAGGGCGTAGGGGCTGCGGAGCGCTGTGTGCGCGAGAAACAAAGGCGGCCGGCCCGAGGCGCAGCAGGGGAAGCACAGGTGCCCGCGAGGCCCCGCTGAGGCATAAGGCAGGTCGGTCCTCTCCTCCAAGCTCTTCCTCGGGTCAAAGCTGACCCGCCCACGCCTTCATCCGGGAATATCAAGCCTTGCAAGGGATGCCGAGCACTTTCTTGGAGCAGTCGGACTCCTTGGAGTCCTCCCTGCGGTACATTATCGCCCCAGGAGGAAAGAATTACACCAAAAATCACCGCTGGAAGCAAGGAAGTTCGCAAGGGACCGGGGCTCACCCAAGTCGCCAGCAAAAAGGGAGACTAAGCTCGGCGAAGTCTCCCTAGCCCTTCCCTGAACTGCCAGAATCCCAGCATCGGCTTTCTCCCGGAATTTAGTATTTGGCATCTGCTGGATTTATTTCTTCTCCTTTCTTCCCTTCCTGCTTCCCCTTTATGGCCCCAGAGAGAGGAGGAGAGAGAAAGGAGATTGGCATCTTTCTAATAAAAATGCAATTTTATGAGTATTTCTTTCATTTGATGCTACAGGAGCTAAATATTACATTTCCACTCCTGGACTTAGGATAGGGCTGCCTACAGACTGGCCGGCAGAGGCAAATGCAGACACCGTAGAGGGAAATATTTTCATCTTCGGATTAGGGAATTGCTCAGAGGAGGCTCCAGATTCAGAAAATGCAAACCTCAGATCTGCATCCGCATCAGCATTCCCACTCAGAACGGAAGCGAGGAGCTGCCTGCATCGTGGAATCAGGAGCATCTGATGTGAGAAATAAACTCCCCTTCTCTCTGGATTGTATCTTTCAGAGACAGAGGTGAAAAATGTCGCCATTTTGTTTGCAATCCAAAATATCCATCATCAGGGCCTCCGTCTCCCCCCACCCCCAGAAGCTCCCTTAGATGATCCTTGGAAACAGGCACTGGAGCCACTTCCGGGTACCTGTGGGGCCTGCTGGAGCTGCTTTTAGGGAACCTCCTCACATTTTACGGAAAAAGAAAAAGGCTCCGAGGATGCAAAACCAGGCGCTTAGAGACAGCTGGGTGTTTTTCTCACAACCAGAGGTGCTTCCCCAGGTCTATCCTGGGGCTCCTGATGCGTATATATATTTTTTCTCTTTAAAGAGTTTGGTCTGTGGAAGCGTTGGGTTTCCTCCCCCCACCCCCAATCTCCCTGCTGAAATATGGCGCACCTTAGAAATGCAGAGGCTAGGAAACCAGTCTTTGTGAGAACTGGAGCTTCCGCCTTTCTGGTTGTTCATGCAGAGCAGACACAGGAGTCTTCTTTTAAGTAATCATTTTAGAGATGAGTGTAAAGTTACCTGGGAAAATAAGGAATAGTGTCTCTGGAGAGAGAGACAAGAGATCCTCCATCCATCCAGGGAGGGAAATCTTTCAGGGATACTACTGTCTGAACCCACGTCTAAAACCCACCCTGTAGCTGAGGAAGGAATGATTTGGGAGCTTCCTCCTTCCCTCGGGGTAAGATTTTAAAATGAGATTCTAATATGATTTCCTGTATCTTGCCAGTGAAGACATTCATTTTGGCTTTCAAAGAAAAAATATTGATCTCACCCCCAGCTTTCTAGATATTAAAAAGAAATCCTTATTAAAATGTCTCCTGAGTTAAAGTAATAGATTTGGGGGAGATTTCAGTGTTGAGTGGTCAGAGGAAAGGGTTTTCTTCCATATGGTATTTGAATTAAGGCCGATGAGTCCGGCATAAAGCTCTCACCCACGCAGCTCCTGACAAAGCCTCAGCGGTGCGGGGGCAGCAGTTGCTCCCTCTCTGCAGTGTCCCCTCCCTTTAACCCGTCCATACTTTCTGGTAAAAGCAAATGCCAAAAGCTGCCATCCCAGAGTCCGCAAAGCACCTTTCCTAAAAGCACCCCTCTAACCTTTTCCACTGCCAAAAATTATCTTTAAAAAGACCAGTTTTCCTTGTTTACTTGCGTTTCCTGCTCGCCTCTTTGCTCGGCCGCATTTGATCTTGGAAACAGCTCGAAGCTGAAATGTGTTCTTAAGGGCCAGAAGCTGTCAAGGCTTTTGGTGAGCAAGATTGATCGCGCCCAGACTTCCTTCGGAGCTTTGTTTGGAATAAAAGCAAGAAAACTGAAAAACCTCACATTTTCCAAAATAGCATCTCTATCTGTAAGGCATGCTTAGGGCTAGTAAAGGATGGACACTACTTTATATCTAATTTACAACCCAAACCCCCTTTGATGCCTCAGAGATGGAATGCTGCCCTTGCGCCTTGGTCAGCCTTTCTTGTGTTCTATGTAGATTTTTCTCCACCGCCAACCTCTCTCTCTCTCTCTGGCCATCAGAATGATTTATTTTCCTGCCACCGATGCCTGCCTACCGGCCTGGGGGAGTCTGATCACTTGGTCCATTTCAAAGGAAGCAAAAGCAAATCATCATCCTTAGGGTTTGGGGAAAAGAGGTACCTTCAGATCTCTCTCTCTCAGCCTCCTACCCTCTTTCTGTGTTGGTGGATTTTTAAAAAGTTATTGTTTGGTACCTAAAGATGTTATCTCTTGAACCCTCCAGCACTGTCCAAGATGCGCTCAGTCTCAAGTCTCCGAATTGGAAAAAAGAGCGAGTGAAGAGAAAGAGAACCTTCATATTCCCTCCTTGGGTGCCTTCTCTCCCCAGGGGTGCTGCGTCCTGCAACACAAGTCGGATTCAAACATGCCCGTGCCCGAGGAGCAGAAGGTGCGGGATGCAATCAGGCTGCCCAGGGAGCACTCGCTGCATCTCAATCTACCAGCCCCCAACCAGAGCGACCAGGACAAGGAGAAGGGAAAAGAAAGAAAAGCACCTTCTCCCTCCCTGCTGCTAACTTCCACCAGACTTCCTGGAAATCGGAAATACTCACCGTCCCTGAGCCCTACGGGTATGAAACCCAGAATGCCAGGAACCGCACACGCCTGCTCGGGTTGGCATTTCTTTAGCTGGCTCCCTGGCTACTGGGGATTTGGATACATTGGCCTGGGGCTGTTGCCTCTCCTGGCACATGCATCTATCTTTCTCGAGCCACTCCTGAGAAGTTGACGGCGCAGGAAGGTCGGGAAGCTTCGAGAATCGCCTCCCAGTTTCCGCTTCCCGCCGGAGCCAGATGCAAAGCTGAAGTGGAAAAGCCGGCTAACAGCGGGCCGGGGCCGGGGCCCAGGGGCGCGGACTCCGAGCTGGGCACTGGGGGAAAAGGAGGGGGAGAAGGCGGAAAGGGGAAGCGAAGGAAAGACAGAGAGGCAGGAAAACAGAGCGAGCGAGCAGTTCTGAGATATCCAGGAACTGCTTTAGAAAAGGTGCAAAAGGAAAAGGGAAGAAAAAGGGAGGGGGGAAAAAAACCACCCAAAAAGAAATCTCTCTTCTCTTTCTTCTCTCTTCTTTACCTCTCTCTCCATCTCTCTCTCCCTCCTCCCTCTACTCTCCTCTCTTCCTCTGCTCCTTCCTCTTGCTTTAGCAGAACATAAGTGACTGGGATGCGGGGCCCTCGGGTGTCAAAACTTTGAAGATTAATGGATTACTTTGTTAATGACTGCAGGCGTCAGACTGAGGTGCTTAAATGATTTGTGAGGTGCGAGGCGCCTTCCCGACAGTCCTAAACAATGCGCGGAGTGTGCGGGGGAGGCAGAGGGCGGCCGCCGCCGGGACCGGCAGCAGGACTCACGCTCGCTCACACTCCTGCACTCATACACACTCCCAGGCGCACGCAGCAGATCCTGGCTGATCAGGAGGCAGGCAGGCACCCTCGCCCCCACGCACTCTGGGGCATCCCCATCCACACCCACCTATATGTATTTTTGCCCTGAAAAAGTGTAAATAAAGCCTCGCTGGCCCCCAATGAGGCGTTCCTTCCCGACTTTTTTGGATCAATCAAACAGACAGTGGCTTCTTTTGATTAAAGCCCAAATTGTCATTGGGCAGAAGCAATCATGTGACAGCCAATTCGGTCCAATTTCAACCTTGTCTCCATGAATTCAATAGTTTAATAGTAGCGCGGTCCCCATACGGCTGTAATCAGTGAATTAGAAAAAAAACACCCCAGCAGCGATCTTCTATGATAGATTTTTTTTCCTCCGCTCTTGCCTTTTTTCCTGGGCCTTGCCCCCCCAAAGCCCCTCCAGAAGAGGGAACTTTTTCTCCGAGGGGGCTCCAAGGAGAAGGCCATGAATTACGAATTTGAGCGAGAGATTGGTTTTATCAATAGCCAGCCGTCGCTCGCTGAGTGCCTGACATCTTTTCCCCCTGTCGCTGATACATTTCAAAGTTCATCAATCAAGACCTCGACGCTTTCACACTCGACACTGATTCCTCCTCCTTTTGAGCAGACCATTCCCAGCCTGAACCCGGGCAGTCACCCTCGCCAAGGCGCTGGCGGACGCCCCAAGCCGAGCCCCGCCGGCAGCGGCGGCAGCCCGGTGCCCGCAGGCGCCCTGCAGCCTCCCGAGTACCCCTGGATGAAGGAGAAGAAGGCAGCCAAGAAAACGGCGCCGCCGCCCGCCTCGGCCGCCGCCGCCGCCGCCGCCACCAGCCCTGCCTGCCTCGGCCACAAAGGTCAGTGCAAAGACTTGGCCCCAAGTCCCCGGGAACCTCTTCCCCCTCCGGACTGCCCCGAGAGCGGTTATGGGGGAGGGGAGCGAGGGCTGGGAGAGAAGGGGAACAGGGAGAGATGCTTGGCTGCCTTTTCCCTTCCCCTGTGGGTTCAGGAGTGGGTTTGCTGGAGAGAGGAGGGCTCTTGCACTCCACAGTGAGACATATATATATTTTTAGGGAGAGGGGGGAAAAACTTTCCCTAAGTTGTGTAATGTGGGATGATTTATTTGAGTTGGAACTGACCTCCTCTTGTCTCCTTGTCCTAGAGTTTGGCTTTTTGACAGTAATGAAGAGTGATAGATCGCTCTTGCTCAGCTAAGCAGCTGATGCATTAATTATAAATTGTGGTGTGGCTAATATAAAGTTTGCTCCCGGATTGGGGTGGGGGGAGGGCTACAGGCAGGAATTTGATGGAGGTGGAGGACCTGGGGTCTCCCCGGGCTGGGCTCCCAGGAAAGGCAGCACAATAGCTGTGCTGCATCCAGGGGCGGCCATTTTGTTGCAGTTGATCTTTTCTGCTATATTTATTCTTCAGTGGAATAACCCTGCTTGGACCCGTCCACCTCCAACTGTGCGTGTGTCTCTTGTTGGTTTCCCTTTCCGCAGAATCCCTGGAAATCGCCGATGGCAGCGGCGGGGGCTCGCGGCGCCTGAGAACTGCCTACACCAACACGCAGCTTTTGGAGCTAGAAAAAGAATTTCATTTCAACAAGTACCTTTGCAGACCCCGAAGGGTGGAGATTGCAGCGCTGCTGGATTTGACTGAGAGACAAGTGAAAGTGTGGTTTCAGAACCGGAGGATGAAGCACAAGAGGCAGACCCAGTGCAAGGAGAACCAGACCAGCGAGGGGAAATTTAAATGCCTGGACGACTCCGAGAAAGTAGAGGAGGATGAGGAAGAGAAGTCCCTCTTTGAGCAAGCTCTCAGCGTCTCTGGGGCCCTTCTGGAGAGGGAAGGTTACACTTTTCAGCAAAATGCCCTGTCTCAGCAGCAGGCTCCCAACGGACACAATGGCGACTCCCAAAGTTTTCCAGTTTCGCCTTTAACTAGCAATGAGAAAAATCTGAAACATTTTCAGCACCAGTCACCCACTGTTCCTAACTGCCTGTCAACAATGGGCCAGAACTGTGGCGCTGGCCTAAACAATGACAGTCCCGAGGCCCTTGAGGTCCCCTCTTTGCAGGACTTTAACGTTTTCTCCACAGATTCCTGCCTGCAGCTTTCAGATGCAGTCTCGCCCAGTTTGCCAGGTTCCCTGGACAGTCCCGTAGATATTTCAGCTGACAGCTTTGACTTTTTTACAGACACATTCACCACAATCGACTTGCAGCATCTGAATTACTAAAAACATTAAAAGCAAAACAAAGCATCACAAAACAAAAACCCCTTTGGCCGAGTGGTTTTGCCTTCTTTAATTCCGGGAGTTGATTTTTATCTCATTTTCTGCTTCATCTATCCCCTCCTTCCTTGAAATGTTGAGGATTTTGTTCAGTGATTCCCTCTGACCCGGTTTCACAGCAGTCTTTTACAGATTATTTCAGAGTTTTAGTTAATTTTAAATTTAACCCAGCCACCCTCTATGTGATTTCCTGAAAGCAATATATGAGGCCTGCAAGAAAGTGATCATATAATTGTATCTTCACTTTCTTTTTATTTTTGTATTACATTAGGATGCACTGTCATGCGTATTTTTGGTAGAATAAATTCTCCTTTGCTACAAGTAGCTTTCTTATTTTTTTTCTCCCCCTCTTTCTCATGGCTCCTAATGGTTTCTTTTTCTTCTTTTTAGTCTAACTTGGTAAATAAAATTCTGGTCACAATTTATCTTCTTTTTCAATTTTAATCCATTTATTAAAGGGCATGTTTACAGTCTTCTTTAGACAGCAACAAAAAAGAAAGCCAGAAAATGGCTACGGCTTCTGAGAAATGTTTTTTTGTTTTGAAGGGAATAGATTTGGTTTTTAGTGTAGAGGTTCAAGCCATAGATCGAATCGGTAATAGAAACAGGACGGGGCAGAGTAGGGCCAAACTGAAGCTTTTGAAAGTGGAGAAATGAAGTGCCTACAGAAACCTTCCGCTCCAGGAACGAGGAACGTGGAGTTTCTTTAACAAGCTACCAGCCTCCAGGTCAATAACTAAGTTATCAGCAATTCATTTATTTATACACGTTTGTTTCAAACATCTACATTCCAGCCCCTCCCCCAACCCCCCCCCGCCCCATTTTCAGAGTGGTTGATTAGTCTCCCAGCTGTTGATGGGTCCCAGCAAACAGACCTAAAAAATAGAAAAACAAAAAGAAAACAAAACAATGGTTACTAGCTAGAAAGTGCACTGCAGAAAGGGTTCTTTTCAATCCTCTGGTTCTGTCATTCTAGGATTCTTCTTTTCAGGGTCAGAAAAATCAATATTTCATTCTTAAACCTGTTTACATTGCAAATAATGGAGCATTAAAGCTTTGAAGTCAGGTTAGCAAGTTGAGATTTAAAATGGAGTGTTTCTGCACCCTAGGTTATAAATTAACCCAATTTCTACACAAAGGAGGGGGGGGGAAGCACTTTAAATGGTATATCAATAAAATATGATCTAGGGTGTGTTACTGGGCTGTTTTGTTTTTGTTTTTTTCTCCCTTTCTTACGTGTTCCCGTGTTTATTTTTCCCTTTCTGAGCTCCATTCTGATGGTTACTTACTTACCGTGAGAAACTGCAGCGTGTAAGCAACATGTGTGGGGGCGGGTTGATTTAGCAACCCGGCTTTTAAATGCAAAGGCTTGGAAGTTACAATGAAATCGCGATTTTTCTCCATGCATTTGCTCCCCACTTTCCCCCTCCCCTTCACCCCCTAAATCCCGGCAGTGTCGGAGTCGTGGGGGGACCGCGGCCGGTTTCCCGGCCCCAGACGCGGCGCGGAGCAGGGCGGCCCAGCCCCGGCCAGGGCTGCGCGGCTGCTGGAAGCGACTCGTCCTATGCTCATAAATCAAACGCTTTCTATGAATGAGAATGTCATCAAAGAGATCAATTGCAGGAACACATGCACAAATAAAAATCCTCTTACGTATTTGCCGGGGATCCCCGTCCGAAAGCATTAAGTTAGAAGGCGTTTAGTCATAATTCATTTTTATTGCTCTTTTAAAACAACAGCTTGGCTGAGCCGCGGATGCCATGAACGGCTCGGGGCCTCGGCGGCGTTTTGTTTTCTCCTCGCTCCTTCCCTTTACAGTAGAAGAGCGCTGAAAGAGGTGCTTTGAGCCCAGAGAATCGCTTGTGGGAGATTAATTTAATCGTGACCAAGCTCGCCTTTCGCCCACTCGTCCCGGGCGTTTAAAAGACGGTAGCTCGAGTCAGGGGCGCTGGCCTGCGTGCCCACAGGGCCAAGCGTTTCCAATCCGGTCGAATGGGTCCCAAGATTTCTTGGAGGGGGTGGGGAGGCAGGGAAGGAACCGAGGTACAGAAGCCTACCGGCTCGAGGCCAGGGGAGGCTGCCTTTGTGAGCCGCACGGGAAGAGCGGCGCTCCCGGCGGCCCGCAGAGGAGCCCGCTCGGCTTAGACAGCCCGGCCTGCCGCAGCAGTGCGCAGAGAAGGGACGCTCACCCGCCCTTGTGTCTGCGGGCCTGTGTGCGAGTGCGCGCTTGTGACCCTAAGGAAAGGAAAAAAAACCAACAAACCCACCCAGGCTGTCTCCAAAAGCCAGGGAGAGAAGAAAAGCAGTAGAGCGAGAGGAGAAGGGAGGCCCGGTTCCTAGTAGAGGAGGGTGCGTGACTGTGGCCGAGGGCGGCTTTGTGGCTAGAGCCCTGCGGACGAGAAGTCGCGCAAACTCGGCCTGAGGCGGCCAACCAAGGTAACAAAAATGAGGCTGGGGGGAGAGTGTACCGACGAGCTTAGGCCTTGAGAGCAGGTCGCCCGCGCTGCCGGCACAGATCTTCCCTCCCCCTTCCCCACAGGGGCCCCTTCTCTCCTCATTCCACTGGAAGTCTGGCGCTCTGAAGGAAGCTGCTTCAAGCAGGATCGCCTAGCGTTTTCCCTTCTACTGGAGGAGGTGCCCCAGGAACTGAATCTGCAGCAAATTTCCCAGGAGTTGAATCTTACCTTTCCAGCCCATGCCCCCTCTTAACCATGCGTGGGAATGGGTCAAAGGTCACAGAGAAATACTATTTCAAAAGGAAGTGTTTGGGGGGAAAACGTCTCTTTGTTACTGAGGGAGTTCAGAGTCAAAGGTCTGCATGGGTTTTCCTTCTTGGGGGGTAGATTTGGGGGGAGTCTCTGTATTTGAAGAACAGAACACAGAAGCCTGAAAAGGTGACTAACACATTTGAAATGTACCTCCTTCAATCAAACTTAAAATGTACTTAGTTCTTTTAAACTGGGGGAGGGGAAGCAAGAGGGAAGTGGGAAACCCAAACCTACATGTAATCCTCACAAAAAAATTCATTTGTCAGATTTGATGTTGTAAACATAGAGTGAAATCTATAGAGCACTGGCTGCAAAGCATCTTGCATGGTCTCTGGAGTTCTTCTACCTAAAAATGCATCAGTTCTCGGCCTCCGTTTGGCCTTTTCTCTCTACAAGCCCAGGGGTGACGCCAAACCTAATAGTAAACACCAATTAACGACCCCATCAGCATCAGAGTAGGAAGAGGGTGATGGAGAACAGGACCCCTGGCCTGGGATGACGCTCAGATTTGCACGTGTCTCTCTAGGGAAAGACTTGATGGCTAATACAAGCAGCTACAGTCAGTTGGAAAGGGGAGGAGGTGTTGGGGAAGAGGTTTAAGTGTCCCATCCACCATTAGCCATCTGTCTACCGCCCCTCCCACCTGCCAGCCCCCACTCCTGACGTGCAGTAGAATATGGAGGGTGGGTGGAGGAGGCTTCCCCACTCCTAATATTTTCCTCCCCAAAACGAGAAACGTGGCAGGGGGGATGTTTTGTTGGAGCTGTGGTCCGGCCCTTTGAGGCCCCCGCCCGGGCACGCAGGCTCCTGGGTCCTGGGGAGCCGGCAGATGGCCTGCAGCGCGCGGCCCGACCCCCACGCTGGCTACGTCCGCTAGCGTCATCTCTCTCCCCCGCCTCCTACCCCTCAAAATCCAGCCGCGGAGTTGCTCGGGCTCCGGGAGGGCTCCGGCAGCAAAGCTGAGTGGGGAGGAGAAAGGGGCGGAGAGCGAGGAGACAGGGCGGAGAAGAGCCCGGCCACCCCTGGCCTTTTCCTGCAAACTCAGCAGCAAGGGCTCACCCGCCCCCGGGAGTCGAATTACCGAAACTCCTCATTGCCATGCTAATGACGAGGGTGTGGGGGGCCGGAAAGCAGCTTCGGCGACTCTCCCGGTGTGTGCAGGCGGGTAGTTTCTTTTCTTGCCCCCATCCCCTCCACGCTCACCCGGGCTCCCAATCAGCCCTCTGCACATTTCCCTCTCCGCTTGGAGCTTGGAGAGCCGGTGGCCCAGCTTCGCCTCCGCCATCGTTCTCTGCGCTCCTCCCGGCCCCACGGTCCCACAGCAGGGACTGGACAGTGAAAACGCCAGGAGATCCTTGGGCGCGGCGCCGGCCCAGTGCCTACCCTTCCCGCTCCGCGCGCTTCGCTCTCGGCCTGCGTACCTGCGGCCGCCCCGCGAGTTGCAGCCCACTGATTCCCGACCTGAGAGAGCCTTCCTTTCTCACCTCTTGCCAGTTCATCTTTCTGTGCACGATGGGAAGGGGGACGGGGTGGGGAATACCCCCTAGCCCCCACCTCCGGGAGGGGGGCGAGCGGAGTCGGGTGGGCGCTGAAGGCAGCCGCTCCCCTTGGCCCCAGCTCTCCGAATCTGTTTGCAGTCGCCGCAGCTGCTGCCGCCGCCTGGGCTGCCTGGGGGGGTGGGGGGTGGGGGCGATTGCGCGTCACCTAGACGGAGGAGCGCCGGGGATTTAAATGCCACTGAAACAGAGATCCATCGCCGCCGGAGCCGGCAAACTTTCGCAGGAGGCTCGGCCATTGGCTGACATAGTCACGTGCCCCTCCCCTTGCGCACTCCGCCCTCCCGCCGCC